ATTTCAATGCATTTTCGGCCTTAAAGCGGCCGCCATTTGGCTATCGTTAATGGGATCATGAAACAAATGCACATACATATTTGTGACATGATGTACCTTGTGTGTGTGAAGTTTGAACTTGATCAATCCAGACATGTCTCGGATACGGATCCAGAACTGAATTCTTTAAAACAAAATGGCCGCCAGTCGGCCATTTCGAACTTGATCCGAAAAAAAAAATGACGTGCATCAAGGTCCTATTATGTTTAATGTATGTACCAAATTTGAACGAAATCCGTCCATGCATAACTGAGATCCGGGTCCGGAATGGTGAAAATGTGCCATTTTGATGCATTTTCGGCCTTAAAATGGCCGCTATTCGGCTATCGTTAATCGGATCATGAAAAAAATGCATGTGCATATGTCCCATATAATGTGTGATGTATGAGTGAAGTTTGAACATAATCGGTCCATGCATGTTCGAGATACAGGTGATCACGGACGGACGGACGGACGGACGCACACAGGGCAAAACATAAGTCCCCGTTTTCGGACTCCGTCCGAACGGGGACTAAAAATCCAGTATATAGTTGGACAATTTCTCAGACTGTTTTCAGATTCCAATAAATTTTACAGTGTTTTTTTTCCAAATGATATAACATAATGCACATATTGAGTTTGAAATTACATTTTCTGACTAACATGTTTCTCGTCTCAGTTTTGAGATAGGCTACTGCTACTGGAACTTTGTGGGAATGTGAATCGTTGGGTTATTTTGTACACTTCTATTCTGATGTATGGAAGTCTGCTGAACTCGTAACTTTGAATGAAGATTTTAATTATTTACAAACCTTCTTTCTGTATTCCTCGATAGCAGCCATGTTGGGTTTCATATTGTGCATGTCCTCCTCAAGTACAGTTATTTCAAACTGTACTTTATCAGGGTCAATGTCCTCCAAGTCTTCCTCAGTCAGGGTTGGTAACTCCTTCATTTCTTCTCCCTCAATATTGTGCAGAGTCAGTCGACTGGTCTAAGTACAATTAGATTAACACTTTTAGTTTGTGATCTGAGAGCACACAGCACAAATGGAACTCTCCAATAAATTCTATTTATTATACTTCTACTGTTAATACAGTACTCTGACAAGATGTTTAGACTAAACTGACGCAGTGCAGTGATTTTGCCTCCATAATTCTGTAAAACAGCATCCACTTGTGATCAAAATGCAGCCCAGTCTGTGTATAGCAACCACCCAAGGACTTCATTAAATAGGTCTTCATAGACAGGTGGTCTTTATATGGAAGTTGAATTTTTTTTTTTAGGAAATACTAACTAATATGTTTTTGTCCAGTTGCAACAAAAACACATTTGAGATGACTTGAGAAAATTAAAATTTGTTTGATAAACAGAATGCTAATTATTATTTTGGTCTTCAAATAAAGGCGAATCTGCAAAATTATTGTTGGGTGCTCACATATGACAGGTGTTCTTTTATACACAGGTTTGCTCATATGTTATACCTTGAGACTGCCTAAAAGTGGTCACTATAGGCAGGTAGTCTTTATATAGAGGTGGTCACTATAGGCAGGTAGTCTTTATATAGAGGTGGTCACTAACAAAGGTTTGACTAAAGCAAGCAAAACGACTTACCTCTTTTTTCCAATGTTTAATCTTCTGTTGATTTTCCTTCACTAAGTTCAACCACTTCTCCAGACTATGCTGCACTTCCAAGTGTTGCTTCTTTAAATCGTTTTGTTTTGTCTGTAATTGTCCTAACTCCTCTGCAGATAAGCATATTATTTGATTTGTTATTGACTGCTGCTCACTGTACCTAAAATGGTGCATTGCACATACACAAACTGTGTGTGTGTCATAAAGAATCAACCAAGGCAAACTTTCTACAAACTGAAAGAGATGAAATAAAAAAAAAAAATTACCCTTGGATTCCTCCAATACATTTTCAATTTCTTTCAACTTGTCCTGTGCATCCTGATACGCTTGTAAAACTCTTGTTGCATCGTCTTCTAATTTCTGAAACTCTGCTCCTATTTTCTCCATCATTTCCTTGTTCTCCTCGATCTCCTTCTCTGTAGACTCGACTTTGCTTTCAGCCTTCTTGATATTTCTGAACAAAATGAGTAAAAGTGAATACCGTATTTTCCATTGTTTGAATACATGTGCTTTGGTACATTGTACATGTGTGTTTCTATGGGGGAAATAGAATATTAGATACATTACAGATGCACATTCCTGTCTAGTAACACACACAATCTCGAACTCTGTTGGAGCTTCTCAGTAAGCAAAGAATTAAGACTCCAAAACGAAAATGTCATGCACCTCAAAGTGAGAAAGATAACTGAGAAGGTAAGCTCATTATTTGTAACCATGACATCTAGAAAATGTATCAACCATAAAAGTGAAAAATAAAATTATATATTCACCACATATGTTGGAAAATAATATTTATAATTAATTAAAAAATACGATTCGGTTATTTGTACCTTTCAGCATTTTTTATACCAACATTGGCTTTAGTGATTTCACCAGTGCATTTATCCACCTCCATAACCACAGCATCTACTTTGGCTTGCTGGCGATTCAGTTTTAATCCACCCACATCCATGATTTCTTTGTGTAGTTTCTGTACCTCTGCCTCAATCTTGGAGGCAGATGAAGCAATTTTGTCATAATCTGAAAAAAAAAAATTATAACCATTATAAGATGATTGGGTTTTAAAGTGTCAATTTTTCTCTGAAATTGTATTCTATGAAATTGCTCTAAAAATATTTTCTGAAAAAAACGCACTGTAACACACAAAATAATGCTTCTCTACATTGTGCCATGGGACAAGAACTCTGTATATAAATTGTACATAATAAACCAATGAACATTATTATATGATTTATGACAAATTTTATTTTCATGACGAGGCTTCAACCTTAGCATTTTATTGTCTGGTATAATACTTAGATGTACGAAAAAGTAAACAGGTCTTGATAAAGGTTCTATGAACAAAGTCAAGCAAGATTTAGAGAATCTGAAACAAGTTGACTGGCATTTGATAGCAATGAATTCTCATTTTTGTAAAAACTAGCATACTGCTTTGAAATTTAAGTTTAATAAATGAATAATTAATGATAGATATTTACCTTTCTTGTTTGATGTATAAGTCTTTTCTAATTCACTTAATTTATTCTTATCTGGTTGATTAGCGGCAATCTGCGCCTCCAGCTCCTTCACTTGGTTTCGTGAGGTAGCTTCTTGTTCAATTGATGCCTGTAAAGAAATTATGATATTTGAAGGAAAATATTTAGCGAAATAAACCTCTAGATTGTGATTGTAAGATCAGCTATGTATTTATGGAGGATCTTTCATGGCATTTTAACCTGCACTTTTCATGTCATATGCTGTGTAGAGATACATAATTATATTGTGATAATGAAAGACCTGCCAAAATATGTCTCTGAAGTAAGACAAATACAATTAACAAATACTGTAGAACGGGAAATTATTCACAGTTAAATTTTCGTGTAATGCGCGAAGCTAGCTCTCTGCGCTAACATTTTGTTTAGAGGTTATTTATTTTAATTTCTCCACTGGGGCGCTGTATGTTTGTATTACCGCCGATGTACACAACACACCACTCACATTCATGTCCATCAAGCAGTGAAAAACAAAGTACTAGGCTGGTAGTATTCATGTAATATTTTTATTTCATTGTTAAAAAATGCATTTACAGTCAATAAATATTTTTTGAGTCCTTGAAAGGTTTGTTGATGGCAAGATCAAGGGGTTGCAGCCGATCGCTACAACAGGCCGGAACAAACACAGTAGCGCTGTTGTTATGTAATTTTTTCAAAAAATCTTCACATCGATGTGCTCTGAATACATCAAATATTGCCAGAATTTTTTGTTCTTCAGTAACCCCAGCTTCTGGCGTGTCAATGTCACATATGGATCGATAAAAGTGTCTGAATACCGATGCATTGATTTTCGTATTTTTTACTTGGCAAAATAGCTGTCGCGCTGAGTGTGAACTGCAGTAATAATAAGGATAATCTTCGAACGTGTGTTGGCTAGTGGAAGTGTAACACTCATTTTTAATGTGTGAATTAGTAACAGACATTAAATAATAAATGCTCTTTGTTCTTATTTGTTAAGATCTTGTTTTAAATACTAGTAATTCGTCTGCAAGAAGAACGCGAATAATAAAATGTGCAAATTAGACGAAATTTGCTTTTCCACAAAAACTTCATTACCCGAAAATTTCCCTAAAGGAAATATTCTTAAAGGGAGTTGGTCATGGGTTATCTAGTTCAATATATGAAGCATACAACACCTGTAAAACACATTATTTTTTTACACAAAAATTAATTAAGCTGATCAGCGTGACCATGTATGTGCAAGATATGGGTCCCTTGATATGAACAAAGATGGAGACTTTAATTAGTGTTGGAAGGATAAGACAATACTGAGTACAATACTAAGTACGATGACGTCTACCATTTAAACATTCTGTGCTATGAGTGAAAGTTCTATGTAGAGTAGCATTATCAACAAAATTTGTGACACACACTTTATAGAAAGAGTAGAGAGAGCAGTATACATACAGTACATGTAATAAGTGAACACTACATAGTTGTGAACAACTGAGTGTGAATAAAGTTGAGCTAAAAACAGATTATTTGAGATGGAACATTCCACACACAGCTGTAACTGACCTTGATATCCATATTAAATTTCTCCAGCGTATATTTCATATCTTTCAATGATCGCTGCAGCTTTTCAACTTTGTCTTCAAGTTGAAGTTTGTTATCATGGTTATGTTGCACAAGTTTCATATCTGCGTTTAACCTTTTCTCCATTTTTTCCAACTCTTCAGCCGAGATGTTGCTTACCACAACCGATGATCCCATTCTACCCTTGGCTACTTGTTTACCACCACCACTCATTGTACCTGAAAGCCAAGAAATAATAAAATGTCAATTGTATTAGGTAGGATATCGTTTTATGATTACTTATACCACTTATAGTCAGGTGACCATTTGTTCAACAACTACCAGTACAAATGTACTCTCATTTCTGTAAATTCATAGCATAGCACAGGGAGGGAGGGAGAGGGGTACCTCACCTGACTGATCTATTAGTTGTCCTGCTTGTGTCACCACTCTCCATCTCTTGGAGCCTTGAAATGCTATCCTTGTTGCTTGATCCAAGTCTTTAGCAACCAAAGTATTACGTAATGCAAAGTAGAATGCTGTCAGCACCTTCTTGTCTTCTACCTTCACCAAATCAAACAACCGTGGGACATTCTCTGGTCTGAATGTAGGGAATATAGTGGATTTACAAAATATTATAGATCGGCAAGGGAATGTAGGGATTTTAATGCGTCTGTTATACTGCACTCTATTTAGGTGAATCTCTTGCAATGATCTTGCATTGAATTACTTACGTGTCAATTTTTGACGAAGCATGCTTTTCCCATGTTTTCATCTACAAATAGAAAAAAAAAAGGCTCAAGTTATATTAAGTACAAAATTCCTTACCACCATTAATCAGGACATTAGCCTGTGGTATAAGCATAATATTTATGGCCAAATAAACAACAAATTGTCAGTTACAAAAATTAGAATTTCCGGTAATCGTATCCTGCATCCGCCGAGTAAAATAGACATATAAACACTATAAAATACCTTATCAAGTCCAGCAAAGGTAGCCATGCCAATATTATGTTTTTTCAGGTAGTTCACACATTTTTGAGCAATTTCCATGGTGTCCACAACAATATAATCCAATGCACCGCAAGCAGTTGATATGGCAACATCATATTTCTCATCTATAGCGCCAAGGTCTCCCTGAATCAAAAGAATTAAATAGCTTTGGTGCACTTGAATTTGAGGTGTGTGAGAACATATGGGCAAGGAACATCTGGAGTCACAACATGAAATACTATATTTAAAAATTCTTTACGTACTACTCATACATTATGTACATCTCAGTGAATTGTACATATACTAATAAAACGCTGTTATAACAATTTTAAAAACACAATAACATAAAATACTTTATTCTAGCTAGAATTAATTTTCACTGAAAAGACTTTTTGGGTGTTTTGTTTGGAATTTATTTTCACAGATTTTTAACGAGTTGAATTCGCTGGATTTTATTTTTCACTGAATCATTCCTTCAGCGAAAATTTATTCCAAGCGAAAATAAAGTATTTTACAGTAGGTAACATTTATTAAAAAGATTAGCCTTTAAATTTTGTTTGAAAAATTATGGTATTTCCCAGAATTACGAATATCAAGCAGTAACTCATTGTACAATAGTGGCACGCACACAGAAAATATTCTTTGAACTTATCATTTATTAAATACATGTATCAGGTCTGACTTTTATGTCCTTAGCATTGGATTTTCATGCTAAACCACTTGAATGAACAGTTTTATTATAGCAGTAGAGTTTATATACATATACGACACACACATGGCTAACAAATTAACCTAACTTACGAGTCTTCCTGATATCCCTGGAATGTTGCCAGATTTCTTCTGTGACATCAACGCGTCAACAACTTTGCCACGACTACGGGCAGACTGTAACGAACTACGAGTTTCTTCAACTTTGACACGATTTTTCCTAACCTGTGAAGACAATCAAGAAATCTCTGGTTACCCTGTATATACATGTACTGCTATAATGTTCCAACACCAAAACAGCAACATTGCCAGCTAAGTTGCTGACTGATTTGCTACGCACGTCTCAAGATCGTTAGATGATTGCCAGTAGAACCAGTTAGTTTAAACCACTCTTACGTGAGTGTGCCATTCGGCTAAATGCGCTCATTCACAAAGCATAATGACATACACCAGACACACCAGACACACCAGTGACCGTGTTCTCACATTTCATACTGTGTCACTGCAATAAACATCACATACATACAAGTATGAATTAAATACAATTATGATTATTATCATATAATTTTTTTTTTAATTTTACCGATTCATTAGCTTTCTCTTCAGCTTCTACGGCACACTGAAGATCTATTTTAGCTTGGTGCAGTTCCTTCTCAACTGCAGGAATCTTTTTCTCTAAATCTTGTACTGAACTGAAATGAAATGAAAACACCAAAATGTGTGATTATAGGTAAACATAAAAAAGACGAGGCAGATACAGACATTGGGCAAACACAATACTAGAGAAGTTGTATTTAAATACATTGTACATCAAACCATCACAAACATAAATGTTACCTTTTTCTGGCTTGAACTGTGTTCACTGCATGGTCCAAGTGTTTTTTGGCAGTGGCTAACTGTGAAAACATTGTATTTTGCTGATTTTTGTACAGTTCAAATTCAGATTTGGCAATGTTCATTTTAGACCTGGCTTCATTCAACGATTTCTGTAGTCCCATCAAGTCTTTTTCTTTTGCCTATTACATAGAGTGATAAGAACATTTTTGTGATTAACGCTAAATACTGAAATAAATGACATATGTACAATGTACGTTTTTTTGCTAATTGGGCATGTGATCACAGTTTGGTTGTTCAACTCTATTAATATTCATATTACCAGTATTCAGTTCCTGCAAGGTTGGAAGTGTCCTTGTCACATTTGTAAATTTCCCCAAGATGTTTTATCATATTTCATAAAATATATTGAGACATTTTTTTATCAATTTTTGAATAATAATTTGGTGGTTTATGTATGCTGATTCACTGACAGCTAAGTTCAATCACCACCAATTTTCCCCTTTCGAAGACGATGTTATCAGGTGTTGTTGCTTCATAGACGCATGTGCATAAACATTACCGGGAGATGGCGACAAGCCAATTATGTGGGCAAATATGTTACAATTACATAAAATTCAGAGCGTTCAATGTGTGAGTTAATGACAGTCAGAAGTAGAACAAAAATAATGTATTGCTTATAATGTGACAAATAAACCAGAAATAATAAAAATAGAGACAGTGAGAAATCATTTGAATTAGGATTTTCCCGCCAACACGCGTGAACTCAAAATGAATTAAAATGTCAGGGGTTAAACTGCGTGAAATTATTTCCGGTCTCGACAAATTACGCATCAACCGTCATACAAGATCAATAATAATTTACAAATTTACACAGTAAAAATTATAAAAATTCATAGCTGTTTGAAAAAAAACTTCTCAGATCTTTATTTGTACGTTCATTGCCATCTTCGTCAAACTCAAAACCCTCAAAGTCCAAGTCGGCGTCACTGTAGCTGTCAAACAAAATCCCTGCAACTTATTCCTGAAGTTCGTCGATATCGTCTCACACAATTTGGACTTAGCACTTTCAATCCACGGATTTCGCAGTCTATCAGCTTGGCACTTTTCATTCATGTCTAATCATAATAATGAGACAAGAACAAGCAGCCTATCGGCTGAGATAGCTCCGCTGTTAACAATGCACATTTCAATTAAAGAACTGAAGACATCATTAGAAAATGAACAATATGAATAGTATCAAAGCAATCAGACTTACAGTTTTTAACAAGAAGTCGAAAATATCACTTTTTACCAAAAATTACAAAAATATTCACCAAAATAAATTAATTAGAGAATTGAAGATATCATCACAAAATGAACAAATCTGAGAGAGGTCCACATGTAGTACCTATATATGTAATATCAAAGCAATTGCATTGGTTTTTAACAAGAAGTCGAAAATATCACTTTTTACCAAAAATGACAAAAATATTCACCAAAATTAGAGAATTGAAGATATCAACATGAAATGAACAAACCTAAGAGAGGTCTACCCAAGGTACATATACACCAAGTATCAAAGCATTCAGGCTTGTAGTTTTCAAGAAGAAGTCGAAAAAGTAAAACATTGACACGGACGACGACGGACAATCACTCATATGATAAGCTCCGCTCGACAAAGTCGACAGCGGAGCTAAAAAACGAACTGTTTTGGATTAAATAGAATCACCTACGTTTTTGTTTTGAATATTGGAAATAGCGCCAATAAAGAAACAAATCTAACAGAGGTCCACAACTACCTACATAACAAGAATCCAAGCCATTAGACAAGTGCTTTTCAAGAAAAAGTCATTTATGTTGAAGGTTGGTAGATTACAACGAGCATTCCCCAATATAAACACGGAGACGACGACGGACAATCACTCATATGATAAGCTCCGCTCGACAAAGTCGACAGCGGAGCTAAAAATGGGGTCGCTCTGCTGCGATGCTTTTGTTTACAGTCTAGCAATCATCTTTGACCTTTATGCATCTGCTTTACTGATTGGCTAAGAATGACATCACTACTAGTATTTCATCATAAAGGTCAAATTGTGACATTGCTTTTTTATCAGACTCGACGCTTATTAATCACGGTGAAAGTTATCATTCAGCAAATTCCGGCGGTAGGAATGTCTCACTATATGGATATCGCAGTGGACTTGAAATAGGAAGTTTTTTTTTTTATCCAACGACAGAAGAATGTTTACATGACGGTGATGAAAGATGGTAAAAAAGTTGGCAGTCTTCGGCGAACATTGCAAAATTGCTGACCCCAGTTATTAATTCACAAGCTGCTACAAAATATTTTATAAAGCCAAAATAACGTGATTTCAACTATTCTCCCAGGTACGGGCTGCTACAATATTGCAACATTGGTTTCATTGTTGACGGCGCTAAAGCCGAACGAGTGCGACACTTGCGGCTCTCCTTATACGATTTGCCTGAATCGTTTCTAAGGAAGCACAACCCAAACGGCCGGCCATTTTTAGGGCCACGACATATTTCAAAAAGAGAACTACAGTTTCTGCTTTAATATATATTTTTTATAGACTTGCTGACTGTTATGATTCAGAACGCGCTGCCCTGAAGGCAGAAAGCTGTCACAGCTATTTTGCGTTCACCCCTTGTTTTACGCAATTAACAATTTTCATAAGTATCACGACAGACTTCAAGAAAGCCAACTGTTAGTGTTAATACAACCACAGTCAACGAATCGAAAATAGTTTTTTTTGTGTAGAAGAAGACCCCCTGGGCGTGTGCCCGGATATGACCTCAACTCCTTTATTGTGTCAAAAGTGGGGGGTGGGCGTTTGCCCAGGCATGGGCTCTTACCCGGATAAGTACGGTACCACTGGATAAGGTCAAGGTTAGTTATCCTGGTGCAGAATCTCAAACAGGATGAAAGAAATAAAAATACAATGTTTCTCCAAGAATGACCAAATTGATCAGCTAGAATAGATAAACAGAAATACACTAGTCTTTGTTTTTTCCAAGCATAACAAGCATACAATGTCCACCACTCACGTCTTTTTCTGTCTGTAATCCCTCGGTCGCCGTCTTCAACCCAGCCATGATTTCATTCAGCTTCTCTTCTTCCACCTTCTGTTGCTCCTGAAATTCTTCTCGCTTCTTGGTAGCTTTCTCTATCTGTTTCTCATTTTCAGCCGGGACAGCTTTCAGTTCTTCCAACTGCAAATTACAATGAACAATATTATTCCATAACGGCCTCAAAGTTCACCTTCATACTATTCATCACATTATATATATATATGAAGAAGTTTGTTGTATTAATTTCAACTGTTCAACAGTCACCTTTTCTTTCTCTTTCTGCAAGGCCTTCCCCAATTTTTTATCTCTAGATTTGGCATGTTTTAAAGTCTCTCGGCACTTCACGTCTTGTTTTTCAAACTCGTTGAAGTCATTTTTCCGGTCTTCAGCCTCTTTTTGAAATTTCTCGTTAGCCCTAGAATTAAATGAACAGGAAACTTAGAAAAGTTATCAAATAGAAATACATGAATTATGAACAGCATTGTAAGTTTACCACTGAGATTTGAGGCCAACTCAGTTAAGCATACAATGTACTGAGATTTATTCTAGCGAGCTCAAAAATACATACTTGTAGCTACCATGGAACTTGGTCACCTTTTTAGAAAGTGATGTAACATGTCATGAAACAATAAAAGAACAAGAAAATGTGGTTCACATAAAGGTGTACCTTAATCGACTTAAAGTGGAGGGGCTGTCACCCGCACAAACATGGGAATTGAGTTTTAAGAGACAATAACAACACACACTAAAAATGCAAAGGCTCATTGGCAGACGCTTATTTGTAAACAACGATGAGCTATGGATGTCACATGCTGCTCTGATTTAAACTTCATAAAAACTTACTTCATAATTTTCTTCTGCTCCTTCGCCTTTTCTTTAAATGATTCTGTCATCTCATCCATCTCCTTGTTGACTGAAGCCATCTCTTCTTCCGCTTTCTTCTGCTCTTCGCTTAAAGAAGTCAGCTTTTTATTATATCCATGTCTGTATAACACATAATACAAATCAACAATTCCAATATTTAACTGTTACCACTTGAAATGTTTGTGTATCTTATGCTTATGACGAGACAGTTTTTGGAATTTCACAAATTCTGAATGCTATACATCTCGATTACAATCATTCTTTGATCTTTGCCAGTAGAGAGAAACATAACCAAAGACAGGGACAGGTAACTGTAGCAAACATCAAAGTGAACAGAAAGATGTCCAGTGTAACAGTTCTTAATGAGTCGCATTCTATTGCATAATTATCTGGGTGTGTGCAAGTCGCTAACAAAACATGCTGTATAAAATAAGTATAGGTGCAACTGCTCATATACTGTGGAGTAAACTTATTCCTGTTTGAAAATTAAAGAATAAAGATACTAACTGTAGTAATGTTTCCTTGGATGAAGTCACAATGAAAATGTACTGACGACTCTAGTAAGTTTGGTATACATTTTTGAAAACACAATGTTTCAAATTTGTTCAAAACCTACATTCACTGCTATGTAAGGTACGTTTTTTTTTAAATTTGACCATAAAGAAACTGATACATTGTACCCAATATTTTCTTGGATTTTGCATGTGTGATAATGTAACTAGATTTGGTATATTCCAACATAATCTTAAGTACTGAATATTATCAGATTCAGAATACCACCTTGATGCAACCCGTAAATTATCAAAATAATCAAGAATTTGTTCCGAATTTACCTCTAGTAAATTAGAAATAAATTATTTCTACTTACACATATCTCTGAAAGAGAACATTCTTTTTCTTAGAGATATTGTTTTCCAGCAATAGATACGCCATTGCTTCGTTCTTTGTTCCTTCCAGTTCATCCTTTTCTTTCTCTACTACTTTCACCCTGTTCAGCTGTGAGATGTAAAGTGATTAAAATTGTATTGTCAGCAAAATTTTTTTTGAAGGTGGTGTTGACTGTAGTAAATGTAACAGGTCTAGTATTTGCAAGATACATGTATCCATATCAGAATTTGTTGTCAATTGCGGAACATCACCGGGCAGTTCTGTAGATTTTGTTGTGATTGAGTTCTCAGCATCTTAGAGTGTCATCAAGTTGCTGATCATGTGCGGAATCCTCTGGTTGATGATTCAAGATTGAGTATATTATAAACCCAGTTTTTGATGTGAAGTATTTTCCATTAAGATTAGTCTGATATAAGTTTTTACTATTATAGCCATGATGTCCCTCCATTTTTAATTTATAAAATGACTTTCTTACATATGTTACCAGTGCACAAATAATGAACATCGAACATTACGTAGTTCCAAGGTCAGTTGCTTTTAGTGCAATGGTTCAATCAGTAAAACAGTGAATGCAGTTACTAGTTTTTTGATCAAGTTACCTTTTCAGGCTTGGGACTTAGATTTTACGACAATGCAACTTTAAGATCTAAACAAATTACCTTTTCTCCTCTCTGTTCATTGAGTTCTTCCACTTGTTTCGCCAATTCCTCTATTGGTTCTTTGTATTTACTGCTGCCAATGATGTCTTCTAGGTACTCTAACATTCCCTCCTCGTGCTCTGTCAACGCCTTGGGTTTCATCATACTGATTTGTTCCACTTCTCCCTTATCAATACAAACCACAGCAAGACAATGTTACCCAAATAAACGTATGCAATGCGATTGGAAGTTGACCAAATAAAATATAGTACCGTAAAATCTGTATTAGAAGCCGCATCCCTAATAGAAGTCGCACCCAATTTTTGTGTGTGTAGATGTTCTAATTGAAGCCGCACACCCTCTGTCGCATTGTACCATTTTAATAGAAACTGCGGCTTCTAATACAGATTTTACAGTACTCATACATGCGTAATTAGGCTTTTTAAGGTATTAACATGATTTCCTTGAGCAAATGTTTGCAACTGGTTGACAGGTGATTGATGCTAATTAAAGCTATCGCATACCTGAGCTGTGCTCAAACATTCTACATTGTAAGTTTTAAGAGTGAGTTCAAATAGAAGATAATACAATGTACCGGTAATAATCATTAACATGACATCTGGTGAGTTTAAATAAGTTGCCAAAAATAACCATATAATCAGCAGTGAAGCAATGCAATCATGGTGTAACACTAGGCATACCTGGAGTATGAGAAATCTGTTATGGTCCAAATCAATGCCAACTTTTCTCAGTAAAACGGCTATTTCTTTGAATGGCGTTTTTTTACCATTGAGATAGTAATTGGATGAGTTATCACGGTACGCGGAACGAGACACAGTCAGTTTACTGTTCGGTACCACTTCATATTCATCTCCATCCTAATAAAAAAGAAACATACGTGTGATAGTTGGAGGGGAACTTAAATGTGCTAGCATTTGACACATCACCTGGGCAGTAATTCATATATTCAACAGCAGGGCTTCAACTTTGGTATTTCTAGGGCACCAAAGGCTAGACCTATTTGAAATTGTGATGAAAATTTGAAGGGCTCGGCTCCAAGACAGTTAGGGATTGGCCTTCATTGGCCTACAATAGTAACATAATGGATTCAGATTCTACAGCAATAAAATCAAGTATTTTACAGTACTCAGAAAGAAACGCTTGGTACCTATCCAAGTTGTAACTGACTGTAAAACTATTGAAAGAGGGAAAATTTCTTCATAGGAATAACATTTACAAAAATGAAATGACAAAATAAAATGCTACCAATCCTCACCAAATCTATTATCTTCTGGAAATGAACATGCACGCTGCAACTGTTGATATTTTTATGATTTTCTGAGTTATGGATTAAAACGGATATCTTCTTAGATCGGATCTTGTTGGCTCGGTAACCAAATACAAAAAGCATAGCATCAATCACATTAGATTTACCACTACCATTTGGTCCAACAATGGAAGAAAAATTCTGGAAGGAAAAAAACAAACAAATGCTATGGCCATGCGTCCCTTACCCTGGGGAGCAGAACCTCTGGCAACAATAAAATTCTGATTGACCAGGGATCACATGTGGCCAGTCTTCAACTGTGACCTGTCTGATAGTAATTTTGGCCCCAAGGAAGATATAAAATGCTCCATTTTAACTTAGAATTATGAAAAACTCCACACCCTGGTAGGGAGAACCCTATCTCCCCCACTTGGTGGTGCTGCTGAATTGCAGTGCTCCCTCTTGCAGTTTTTTTCTAGAAAAACCTCTGCAGATACTTGTAATCATTTCGGCTGACCAAGTGAAAAAGGCATACACCATTGTTTCATGTAAATACCAAACACGTCAGCTATTTTGCATAACAATAATGTACAATTTGCATATCCATTTTGTGCCAATAGAAATAATTAACTCATCAACAACCCCTACTGTTCTGAACTGAAAGTTACAACATAAAAGACATATCGTCCCTTTCATGGTCAAACACAAATTCAAGTTCTGCTTGGGACATAATGTACCTTGTGAAATGGTCCCAAAGTTCTCTTGCCAGCGTAAGATTTAAAGTTTTCATTCTCAATATGTGTGATCATTAGTCTTGGTTCAACACTCTTCTTAATTTCAGCCGGTGAGGTTACGCCATTCTGACTTGTAACATTTGATGAATCAACTCCATTGCTTTGTGGCTCACATTTTTCTATTGTAATATAACAGTACACATTTAGTAAAAATTCATTCAAGACAACACAGGTAGAAACTGGATGCATAGTGTTTCAACATTAGGTAATAATAAACATACCGTTAGTTTGCTGCTTGCCATCAACAAGCTCCATAACACAGGTTTCTGATTCATCCATGTCAGTAAGCATATCTACAATAATGATGATATTTATAGTAAACAACATGATTAATTGACAATGACATTATCGGTAGTCCCTGTTTTATTTAGAGTTATCATTTGAGAACACAAAATTATGTCTTGTCTTTGCAACAGCCTTGAACAAAATCTGCCAAAGTAAGACGAAGAAATGAGACAAATGAAAGAGCCAAAAATATCTGAAACAGCATTGATTGAAACAAAATGGCCACTAGTCAGCAGTTTCAAATCTGATCAACAAAATGTGTACTCAAGGTACTAACTACATGTATAATGTCCAATGCAAAGCAAAGCACACAACCAAGAGACATTGCACAAACTAGAACCATCAGAGCATTGGCTTTCCCTATAATCGAAGCAAAGTGTAAGTGACATTCTAACCAAGAAGTACCGGATTGTGCCGTAAATTTGCCCATCCAAAAAATCGCCCTGGTGGGTTTCACAGCTGGTGGGCCCTTATTTGGGGTTCAAATTTTCAAAAAATTATCATATATTTTTATTGAATAATCCACCTACGCCGATTTCCAACACTGGCAGTTGGACCACCCAAAACGAAAGAAACTAAAATTGTATACATTTTTTTCTAGCTGAATTAATAAGTAAACCGCACATCATTCTCCAAAAAAAATCACATTATCGAACCTTGTGCGCCAAATACAACTATTTTGTTTCATTTTATTAGTAACAAAAGTATATTCTAAAGGAAGTTTCAAATAACAACGAACACAACTGCATTGCTTAGTAGCGAATGATCGTGGTAGCACAATCTGGCCATGCTGCGTTTTACAATTATTGATTATAATAACGTGCAAAAAATAAATTCGTTGAATTGTTATGAAATGCAAATAAATTTCAACCTATTTCATCGTAAGCGAATGATTCTGATCGCATTTTCAATGTTCGATGCTGTAGAAATGAATATCCGCCATGTTTTGACCTGATCTGAAAGGTCAAATCGATAATTAACCAATGAAAACGATGGATGATGCCAACGTGTTCAAATTACCATAACATATTTAAATATGTTAATGTTATTGAACCTAGCATGGAAGATATTTGCCGATGTTGTATGATCAAATACTTTTGAATAGGCGTCAATGACTTCGACGAAACTTTTAGGCATCAGAATACATTAAAATAACACCTTAAAAAACTGCCTGGGCGGTTTTTTGGTCTTAATTTATTTGTTTAAAAACCCGAACTGCCGTTCAACTGCCCTGGGTGAATTTACGGTAGAATCCGGTACAATGTTTTCCATGTAAATGTACCTACCTCCACTTGGTTTCTCTCCTTCCACCAGTTCCATGGCACAGGTTTCTGAATCCTCCATGATTGATTATAGGAAATGTCTACAAAACAAGATTCATCACAAGAAAATAAATGCATAAATATATAAAATATCAATTACAATAAGTTAGGAAGTGAAAAATGTACATTTTTTATTCAGATCACAGTGTTCTCCCTGGGCCTCTGAAGAATCACGGTACTGTGACGATTCAACACTCGTCCATGATGCTTGCTTTTTGTCAGTGATGCTTGAAATTTAATCTACAATACTTATTGCTTTGTTTTAAACTTTATAAATGTCAGTCTGACACAAATTTACAACAACATACATTGATCAAAAGGTAATTCATATTTGTTACAATACAAAAACAGTGTGGTCTTTCAGGGGTATGGCTTCTCTAAATTCAAAAACAAATACTAGATTTGTAATAATTTGTCTAATAGTGACAACAATGTGAGAGAAACAAGACTCACAAATCACATACATAATGAAGATCTATTTTGATTTGCTGCACAGCAGTTATTTGCAGTTTTTAATTCTCAATTGCCAGTGAAAAAAATTATTGAAAACAGAAAACAAATTAGAAATGAAGCCGTATTGGAAAGAAAACTATTATAAATCAAGGCAAATTTCATTGAAGTGCAGACAAGAAGGCCACTATAAAAAGATCAACCCTGACCTCTGAACCTCTGAAAATACCTCATTCATAGTATGCCTTAGTACTGAAAATCATTGCGACACAATGCACATTGTGACATCACGACCGATACAAGCAGGTTCCCAAGAGGAATTCAGATTGAGATAACCAAGATGGTGGCGCAGAGTGCATGATTTGCACCCTTGTTGCCAATTTTGATGTACTTTTTAAGATAAGCTATTATTTTTATTTTTAATTAACCAAGGATTTAGCTGTGGGTCCATAGCTCTTCTTCTGTCAGTCTCTAGGATTTGTGATGGTATTTTAGACATTTCTGATACATTAAATTTGTTATTTTCAGACATTAGAATTGTTATCGACACAGAAGAGCTATGGTTCCTCTCATAGACTTGCATAACACAAACATGAAACTCCAAATGGCATTGCAAATAAAAGTTGAGAAAAGCAGAATATTTTCTCGCATCACAATTTATTATATAATATGTAATTAAACTCTTTTGCTCCGAACCATGTGTAACTCCGCGGGCAGCCATTTTGTTGTTGGCGTTGTCTACTACAGATGTATGCATATATTGCCCACAATTTATTATTTAGAGAAATGTACAAATAAATGTCTTTCCATGCATGTACAATATAGGATGCTGAAAGAGTACACAACAGTAAATAGTCCATAGCAAAATACTAATAGCAGCAGATGACCATTTCCTGCCTTTTTAGCTGTTTTACTTTTCGAGGGAAGTTCTAATACAGTGACTTTACTTAGCCAAGTAATTTTGTCCTCGTTCGACCTCAAGAAAATGGCTGCCACTAGAGTTACAGGTACGTACAGTTTAGTGAGCTAAATCCCAGGAAAAACAACTTCAAACTGATAAATTTTGTAACAGTTTTTGCACTGGTGAGTGTTCAATAAACTTACTATTGATTGGTTATACAAGTAGTACTGTTAATTTTGTACTTTTATTTGCGACGCCTTTGGTGTTGCCTGTTTGTGTTATGCAAGTTTATGGGAGGAGTCATACAATGTAGCTCTACTGTGTTGATAAAAATCATAATGTCTGAAAATAGCAAATTTAACGACACCAAATGTATCAGAGATAACAAAAATACATGTACAATGTACCATCACAAAGACTAGAGACCAGCACAAGAAGAGCCATGAATCCATAGCTACCAAGGATTCTAAATTTGTGCATTTTAACACTGTAAAGTCAGATAACGATGATCATCACAGCAGCAGTAAATACCCATTCATCGCAATGCAGTCAGCTGACAATGTTAACATGATCGAAGACTTACTTCTAATAAAAATGTCATAATAATTTTTCTAAATACATCATATTTTTTTTTCACAGTGGCTTTGCAAATTATTCGAAACAGCCAATTCACAGGATGGCTTGCAACTTTTCAATACACAATCCAGAATTGACGGCACAGTTCTATTGACATGCACATTGTTGACCTCCCTATGAAATAGTAAATGCTATCAGTAAAGTCTAGAAGTAACAAAGCAAACGTCACGTGTTTTGCAAAGTTACAGGCCATCTTGCTATTAAAGTGACTGTTTGCATAATTCTCAGAACAGCTGTAAGTCATGAGATGAGGTGTTCCTGGCATTGACCTCATCGATGTGCAATGTTGTTTTTGTGACGGTCCATCAATCATCGCAAGAAAGCATAAATATTAACGGTATAAAATAAAGACACAGGCTTGACTGCAATCTTCTGTAGAAATAATGTCTGTGTCTACTTGTATTTTTTAAAGATATTGTGATTTCTAGTGTCATGTTTGTTATTACTGTCACAGTTCAAGACTGACGGACAATTTCTAGATTTATGTTGGAAAACCGGAGAATGTCATAATGCGTGTTAGCTCGTAGTTATACAATGAATGTATATTATATTGGCATGATAATCAACAGCAACTTACCGATCGACTGTCCTACAAACTTCAGACGCGAACTCGACCACATTCACTACACAAAAGATGATCAAAAATGGCGCTCAACGACGTTATTGGTTTGAAGCTTGACCCCGATTTAATAAACAGACTCTCTATTGGCTATTATTTGTTTTTCAATGTCTGAGGGATTTCTGACAGTAGGCGAGTAGCCATAATCACTAAATGGTGTCCTTGTGACTAAAAAGTATTTTGTCATGAGAAATAATGAATATATTGGCAAAACAAATGTCGAATTTAATGATATTCACATTAAGTTGACTCCGGTACAGGAATAGCTGGCCAATCAGATGACTCGACACAAGAATACGCAGACCGAATGCAATAATTAATTGCGAGGTCATTGCACATGCGCGCATGGCGCATGAGTTTCTCTATCGTATTACACTACTTCCGTGATCTTTCAGTTTACATGTTTCGAAATGATTAGGGAGACAGTTTTGACGTAATTTATCCCGGGTTGGCATAGGTCGAGGAATGAAATTCAACGTTATAGCATTGAAAATGCCAGGAAGAAAATTTAAACTCGGAGTTATACTCGTTATAGCAGCAACTATTATGATAGGTAAGTGTTGGAACCGTTTTGAGCTGAGCGAGTGTTACGAACCATTGAACTATGGCAAACGCTTCTTTATCGCTGATGCGCGATTATCGACGTTGCGTGCAAGGCATATTACCTTGTTGTTTGTTTTTGAAACTAAAAACACCTAAATATTCACATTTATTTATTGACACAACACTGACTTTAGAAAGTACAGCAGTAAGGTCACTAAAAACTACAAGATACAAGAGAAGGTAGAATGGACACAAGTTACAAAGTTACATTTACAAATTACAAGATTCACTGACAATTAAACATACGAAAATATATTATATCTACATTTATACTCCTATTATGACGTGCTGCGGTCTTATTTTAAGGAAGGGTTAAATGAATTGTACTGTATTGGTCTGTACTGCGAAGTCTCGTTATAGTAATAAATTGACTATGAAATGACAGTTTGCTGAAGTTATTTATGCGTTTCACTTTGGTCATATCTTCAACTAGAGACTTTCGATGTTGTTCATATTTTAGACATGACATTGTTATATAACATTCATCTCCGATTTCTTCTGTATTACATAGGTCACACATTCTGTTTTCAACTGGTATTTTTGTTTTTGTGTGCTTGCCAGATTCTATTTTTAAATTGTTATTCACTAATCTAAATTTGCTTAGCTGTTCGCGCAGTTCAATATTATCAATGTCTGTCATGATTTTTTCAAAATTTATTTTTACAGTTACTGTATGCTCTTAATTTATTTTTTTCTGTTGAGTGCTTGTTTTGCATTGGAAATTTTTGAATCAGTGTTTATAATTATATAAGATAAGATAAGATAATTCTTTATTACAACCATATTGAAAGAAATTCAATTTAGGTGAATACAAATGTAATAAAGGTATAACAAACTATTCTAAAAACTAAAACTATACTTATCATAAAGATACAGTAATATTACTGTATACAGTAAGACAGAAATATTACTGGTAATTGAAGATAAAAATTAATATATATATATGCTATGTTCACATGGCAGCATTCTATCGGAGACGAACTACTGCTCCTTCCACGGATTAACAGGAGATTATCTCCAATGCGTTTACACAGTCGGGAGCCAAACGAGAGCCGAGATCTGCCAGAGTTTGATTCAGTTCGATCAGAGCCGACCGGAACAGTGCTCTCAATAATTAGTGTGAAAAAACAGAACTGAAAACAATTTTGGTGTTGTGCTTGTGTTGTTTCTTTACATGGCACGATGCTGTTGAGCTGGGAGAAAAAAAAGGAGACAGTCACAAGTCTGAGCATGGAGGTAGAAAAGCCAATGCACTGGTATTATGATTTAGGTATTACATGTAGTATCTCCATGTAGCTACATGTAGCCGATTTACTTAAGTTATTGTCATGCAAAATTACCATTTTGTAATTACTGTAAAGGGGGTAATTATTCACTGGGTTTTAATTTAGCTTATTTCGCTGACTGGAAAATGCGCTAAATTAAAACCCAGTGAATATGTAAAATTTAGCATAGAACACATTATCTAAATGACGAAACCGTGAATTTAAAACCCACTGAATATGCCTGAAATGGTAAATCAGTGAAATTTAAACCCAGTGAAAATTAGTCATTTTACAGTATTCAACTGTTGTGATATCTTAACTACTCGGAAGAGTCTAAACCTACTAGGAACACATCACTGTACCGTGATCAATTCAACTATTTTTAACTTTGGTGTCTTTAAAAAGTTTCCATTGGATCTGTTCAGTCACACTTTCAAGTTTTTGTCTCATAATTTCGTACACCATTTTTTCTGTTTCAATCTATTGCAGTAATTCTTTACTCTGCAAAATAGATATTAGGGCGCGTACCTCTTCGTGAAGCTGGTAATTGCGTGAAATAACAAAAGATTTTGTCTCCGCCATAATTGAAATGAGAGGTTACTTGAAGAAGACGATTGAGTGCGTGATTTGGGCTCCGATAGTAGGGCTCTGATGTGTATACACGGGTGGGCCATGTCGGGGCTTAACCCAGAGGGTTTATTGGAGCCAAACTTGGCTTGGGCCGAACACGTATACATTTTTGCTGGCTCGAGTCGTAGGGCTCCGATAAAATCTGTTGTGTGAACGTAGCAATAGTTCATAAATAGGTTTGTTTATTTTAGTAATTTAATCAATTAATTAGCTGTGGGTCCATAGGTCTTCTTGTGTCAGTCTTTAGTCTTTGTGGTGGTATTTTAGTCATTTCAGATACATTTGGTGTCATTAAATTTTTTATTATTAAATATTAGGATTTTTATCGACACAGAAGACCTATGGTTCTTCCCATAGACTTGCATAACACAAACGTGCGACTCCAAATGGCATCGAAAATAAAAGTTGATAGCTATCAATTAATGTAGATGTTGCATCCCTTTTGATTCAGGGAATCACTACTACATATTGGAAAGAGTTCCTTTTGCAACCCCACTCCCTAATCGTAATTCTAACCCTTACCCCTACCTTCCAGCACTCTCCAATTTAATTGTGCCCCTTCTAAGGACACTTATAGTTACCTAGAGGGGTCATAGTATTGGTGTATTATTAAGGTTGAAAACCTAATACACTGATACTGTGATCGCAAGAAATAATGGAACGGAATTATTGCAGTGAAGCTATATTATGATTAGGAAAACAGTGTCTCATACATTTGTACTACAATATTGGGGTTCCATTATTTTGTACTGTCACAATAAAAACACAAATTCATTCAATTTTGAGCTTGGTGCAAACAATATTAATGCAAAAATGAACTAATTATAATAAAAAAAAACCTATTATTAAACCATGTAAAATTCATCCAGAAGGAATTAACTTGGCTACATTACATAGAGTACAGAAACCAAAACTGAGAGTTGATAGGTCCTTGCACATAAACACTAATCTACTGGTGACAGGGCTAAAAATAAAAAAATTTCTTCTACGGATCCTGAGTTGGCTACTGATTGCAAAAACTGATAGCCAAACAATATGTCAGTGGTTTAGTTCTTGAAGCCATGCTCACAATTATAAGTACTAGTACATGGAAATAACCAAATCACTTTGTGTAGGACATTCCATTCCATTTATTTATTTATTTATTTATTTATTTTATTTATTTAAAAATTTGTAGTACTGGTAGTCCAGTCGGGCTGCTAATTTTGGAAAATGGTAGCCCTGGCACATGAACTGTCAGTCTCTGTGCCTTGGACTACTGCTAATATCAAGCCTAGCGAGTGACTTTAAATATGGAAACCATTTCTATTGACAGATGTTTGTTTGCAAATTAATAAGTGCTACCCAGTAGTTTCACAATTGAGACCCATTTTTTCAAAGTGTTTCCATATGTTTTTTTTAATAATGTCTCACTGATCAATATGTATACATATATGAACTAAAGGCAAGCGTCTGGATTCAATCAAAAAGAATTGTATTTTTTGGATATACCGGTACCATTGCTTTTTTATGGGGAAAAAAATCCATTAGGTAATATTTACTATCCACTTTGTACTTGCCATGGGATTTATTCACCGAATTCCAGGGTTTGCACTGTTATATTTATTATATTATTTTATCATATTTTGCCAGTCACCAATGACTTTCTCTTTGCTCTGGCTACAACAAATTATGTAACTTTGGCCAACAATTGATAAGGGAAATTAGTAATCGTTTTGAGAAAATTTCCAACATTTAAAACGTGGAAAGATAAATTGAACATCAGAAAAACATATTGTTTAATAAATTAGTTTATTGTCTAAATTAGTTACATAAATCTGAAAAATATGATTATTAATGTACATGTATCTATTGCTTATTGTTTTAGCTATGCTGGTTGGATTTTTGGCTAAAACAATGTACATGTAATATCATCAACTGATATGATTTATTTTAGGATATTGGTTCATAATTTTGGCACACAGTCGGCTAATATGAAAATTATAAAATTTAAGAAATGGCAGTTTAGTCGAGAACATGTTTTTGGGCAAAATAAAGATTATCACCCAGATTCTCATCTTTATTTTTTTCCAAAAAAAAGGTCCTCACTTAAATATGTTTCCCAAATTGTTATCTTTTTTTAATGCACATTCGTACATGTACACACAACCTCACCAGCTGACTCTGTTCAGAAACAACCCTAATATTGGTACAACGAACAGCATGTAAATGATACTCAACAGATTATATTATTTTGAGCACTCTCCAGTATGTACTGATGTGAGCTGACCTGCATTTGTACATGTACATGTATAAATATATCAATATAGGCATCCTGTCTTATTTTTGAATATGTTTTTAGTATCAGCATAATGATGAGTTTTACTCCAATTTGTTCAAATTCTGCACATTTATGTTTATGTCAGTAATGGATGAATTGTTCTAAAATAGTTACTCAAAAAAAAAGTTACTCAAAACATGTCACTGTAACACACACTAAACATGCTATTTTATTGTGCCATGTGACAATAACTCCATGACTGTACATAAAAATACACAATAATCCAATGAACATTGTCGGGCAATTTATGACCAATTATCTCAAAAATTAGGAATAGGCTTCTACCTAAACACACTTGCCTGCTTAAAGCTTCTACAAATATCTGAATAAAAATAACAGTGTCAGCTAGCAAGGAAAATGAATGGATAACCCCATATGATTGTCAATTTCTTGTGCATGTCTGCTTTAACTTATTCTTGAAACAGTATGGGTCTCGCACACTGAGTGTTTTATTTTTTACAGGTATTTTTGTAATTCCAGTTTACCTCCATGCTGTTACCACTGAGCTTGCACTAAGCACCTTATGGATAAATAAGCTGATAGTACAATTGTATCAATTCCATAGAACACAACAGTAAAGAAAAATTTTTCGGCGCTTCATAAACCCCAAATTTTTGAAATTATTCAAGACAACAAATAGCACCCCCATCATTACCAATATATTATTTCTTCAGCCCATGTCACCAGCTTACAATTTAAAATATGGCATAATATCCCTGCCATAAGAACATATGGTAATATGTTGGAATACTTCCAAAATAGCAACTATCCACTGAAATACAACCATCATTTTCTCGAAAATTAGGCCTATGACCCCAAACTTTTTTTTAAAACAATATCCTTATATTGCTCTGAAGTGAAATTTATTGCAAAATGAATAAATTCTGGATATTTTCATTTATGAGTAAGCTTCTACCTTAATAGAGGGAATCAAAAATGCTTGCAGTGACATTCTTAAAAGAATCCTTTTCAAAGCGAGTTTTCCTACCATCCCCCTGCTTGAATATCAATGACTATCAAGTAAACAATGGGGAATTACAATACATTACTAATAAAATACTTTCAAAAAGAAATAAGTTAAAGAAATGTACTTGTGCATACGTGTCCCACCTGTATCACAGATATGCCTACACCAATCAGATTCAAATTTCACACATGCATGTACATCATTCTTCTTGGGATACAGACATGTACACAATTATAGGTTTCATGATGCGATGGCCAAATGGTGCCTATTTTTGTGCTAAATATCCAATAAAATCAAGCATTTCTGCATTTTTCAAAGTAGGATCTCAGTCTGTTCATGTTTATTTTTCTACAATCTCAATTTGATTGTAAAAGTTGATGATTTTTTGGACGGTATTTCAGTGTGAAACCTTTGTATTGTAAAACAGTGTAGAGATTGTATTGTTTAAGGCTTCCCAAAAATATTCATATTTCTGGTAATCACATGCCTCAGTTTAAAAAGAGCACATCCCATTTTTTTTATAAAGAAAAACGTAAGCTACAAATTAATTTTCGGGAAAAAGTTTACAACAAAATGCTGTATATATTGATGTACTGCCATAATTACATACAAGTGGAGACACAGAAAAGGATAAATAAGCATTACCCATTGAATACGAAAACTGTGACAAAAATATGATATGCAAGAGAAATCACCAGTGCTAGTGTTTTACACATACTTTGTTTATTTACGTTACATAGTGTGTTGCTGGGGAGCAGGAGAAGATAAAGAAGAAGAAAGGTAAGTGGTGATGAGAATGTGTCACTCTGTGAACCTACATGTTAATATCCATATTCAAATTATTATTCAATGATGATTTTCTGGAATACAGTTGCACAACACTGACTTTACCTACTAGATAATATTGAAAACTGATTTAATTTCATGAGAAACAAATTTTATTTGGGTTCCTACGACACTGATTATCAAATTGTGAAAAATTCTAGCAGCAAAAATTTAACGATTTACAGTATGATGCAATACCTTGATGTGATATCACCATTATGCATAGATTTATGCTAATTTTATGTACAAGTATTAATTTCCTCTAACCACTTATTAATATACCAAATACATAATCACATACTGTAAAGTACTTTATTTTTAGTTGCTGAAATTAATTTTCGCTGAAAAGATTTTTCTGGTGTTTGTGTGAAATTTACTTTCACTGATTTCTGATGAGTTGAATGTAAAATGTAGGAAAAAAAGTATATTTGCTGAATTTTATTGTTACTGAATCATTCCTTCAGCGAAATTAGCGAAAATAGAGTTTTTTACAGTACCTGCTATACATGTATTTCCACATACGGTAATGTAAACGCATACCATATTTTGTATTGAGTACTTACATGTATATAGAGATCTGATTGTTGAACACTTCTACCCACAATGTTTTATCATTATTATTACAGACTTAAAAAAGAGGACGTTATTTTTGATATAAGGAATGAATTAGATGAGGTAAATTCCCACTTTATATTATTTTCTGTTGATACATGTATAATACAAAAAACTGTTTTTTTTTTGTATTGATTGGAATGATATATTTATATGATTTATATTCATAAAATTTTTATTTTGCACTAAATAATATAAGTACATCATATTTCAATTGTTTTTGTAGGCTGTAATACCAATTGAACAAAGATTACTGCAGTTAGAAAAAAGGTATAGTTTTATTTACATATGAATACTGTACTAGCAGCAGTCTGTCTACTCGCCTATTGTACTTGTCAATTACAGTAAACAACACAGCGATTATTACACAGCAAATATACATGTACCATTATGTACACTGTTTCGTATAAAGAAATATCAATAATAATATTATTGCAGTAATATAAACAAGACATGTAGCAGAGACTGCTGCTATCACAAACTGTCTGAATCTATAGTTTGTGGTATCCTTGTTTATAATACATGCAGAATTTTCACCAACTTTAAACATTTTTACACGTGGGTTTTGTCAAGTAATTAGTGCATTTAGCAAATGATGTCCAACGAAAAAAAAATCTGCCCCCCCCCCATGTCATGTTATTTTTTCTGAGTTGTACGCACACTATGACCTGCAGACCACAGTATAGAGTGAGCCATAAAAGTCGCTGGTGTCGGGATCCAAGCAAAAACCACGACTTATCGAGGTCGTGCATTTAAAAACATATAAAAAGCACATACAAATGTATAAACCCTCGGTTTAGTTAATTGATGTATCATCATATGTGTCAAGCAGTATTCGAATAAAATCATGACTATGTTTGCTGTAAACACTGCAGTGATGCGTTGTTTATTTTGTTTGTGTCCGATAGTATGTGGGTCGTTTGCTTTTGCTTGCGACTTCGACGGTAACATCTTCCAAAATGAACCAGTTTCATCGCAATTATAAACTTGTTCTTCAAAATAACCACCTTCATAGATAATTTCTCTCAGTTTTTTCGGGAAAAACAGCGTCCATGTTCGCAGATCGAGCTTCGCCTTGCGTGTATACGCGTGTATAGCGTGTCTTCTTTGCCATCGCAAGAACCACCCTGAACTGGCCTCAAATTCAAAAACATCGTATCTGAGTTGCGTGCTTTGCATTGGGTGATGGGACCAGAGAGTGGAGTTCCGGCAGACCGTTCCTGAAGAAATGTAAACAGGTTTATCGATGTCATTGCACGTTTTTCTGTTCAGTCCCGCCTCTTGGTAAACTTTGAAAACAAATTTACTCTTCATTTTTTACCCACCCACGAATAGTGGGCTCACCCACTGCTCGATCACGTGCAAATATATAATTTGCTATGCTTCAAAATGCTTTTCCCCATGAAACAAATTTCTTACCTTTTAGAGCATGATAACTCTACCGCATCCTTAACTTGGTTTCACCTCTTCTTGACATGGTCGATCGCTGTGAGTTTATGGCTACGAACAGATTGGATAGCTTTGGCTTTGACATGCTGCTCAGTTGAGAAATAGAGATCAGATAATGAATTCAACTCATTGTAGCGAGTTTTATAGAGGTATACCAAAATGGGACTGGCCAAGAAGCACTTACGGTCACTACTCGACATCTGTGTTGACACCTTGAGTAAGGCCGCCGTCACCCATTGAATCTCAGCAATTGACGGACAGTAGGTGTTAAGTTGTCTCTTTAACGGTTAGTTAAAAACACTATGCCACGAAACATCAGTCTTTGTACTTCAAAACTGCTGTCAAAACACAATAGAAATTTTGGGAGCCATCAAAGTACGGCGACTTAGCCGAATCGCGACTTATCGAGGCGCGACTTAGCAAGGGGGCACTGTAATATAATGAGGATACTTTGTTTTGTACTTTGTATTTGGTTTCTTTCTTTATGTACAAAATGTAGTTGGTTTGGTCACATGTACATGTACATGTACTTACATGTATAGGGTGTTCACATGTGTAGCAAATCATGATCGGGATCAGGCCAGAGTAAATTTTACCCGGCTATTGAAAACAATGTTGAAAAACATGTGGGAAGGGATTAATTAATAAATTGTTGATCCCGGCCCGATTTTCTCAGAATCAGAGGGCTCATCTCAAACCAGAGTTCCGTGTTTAACCATAAGATGTAATATGTATGAACGAAGTCTCTAGGGGAAAACAACGCCCTCTAATGGTGATCCAATGGTTAGTAAATCCGGCATAAATAGTTGCGAATTTTAAGATCAATATAAACAACTGTAACGTATGAACAGAAATGGCCACTGAATGTTAACCAAGATTTTATAGGTCAAAAATTCTTCTGTTTACTCATTTGCTTTACATGTATAACATTGGGTATAACACACTTTGTTATGTTATTACAGTGCTTATTTCAGTACCCGGAAAATATACCCAGATGTGCCGTTTTTGATGGAAAAAGATCGAAAGCGTATATTGGTATGTAGTCACATTTTAAATCATGGATAAACAAGAAATATAGTGTGATGTATGCGTTGCATGGGACCCACTGATATTGAACACTATGTGTAGTACCAAGAATGCATGTCTCATTTCGTTAGTCGCTGTAGTACACTGCTTATGAATTATTTTTGCAAGAGGCAAGTTTTCGTAAATTTCATGATTCAGTGAAAGTCGTGAAATTTTGTACATTGAAAATTTCTGTGGTGTCCTTGGACAGTTTGTCAGCCACAAATTGTAAAATTCCCTTGTAGCAATAATGAATCAGTTCACAGTATATATTAAATAATCTCTTCCTGTGATTTATTGACATTTCATTATAATAAAAATATTATTATTATTAATGTTCTTTGATTCGGGAGCCATACAATTTAAAGCTAAAACAAGTACCCCATTGAAGTTGTGAATAAATAAGTACAGATACAACAATGATTAAAAATATTCTCCAATCAACTATAAAAAGTTCTGCTAAATATCATCACAATCAACGTATTTCTACTACCGTAAAATCTGTATTAGAAGCCGCATCCCTAATAGAAGTCGCATCCATTCTATTTGAATAATTGAGAACCAAAAATTCATCATTTCTCATATGTGTAGATGCTCTAATAGAAGCCGCATCCCCTCTGTTGCATTGTACCATTTTAATAGAAGCCGCGGCTTCTAATACAGATTTTACAGTAGTCATAGCTCTCAATTTAAAGTTAGTCATCGCCTTCCTTCTCCTCGCCTCAAACAAGTAAATTTGATTATAAAATATGGATTGAATCATACTGGTATCGTGACCATGATTAGGAAAAAGATTAATTCGTTGATATTTATTTCCTCTAGATTACTGGTGGAGCTGGTTTTGTTGGTTCTCATCTCGTAGATCGCTTGATGAAAGAAGGCCATGAAGTCACTGTTGTGGACAACTTCTTCACAGGAAGAAAGAGAAATGTGGAACACTGGGTTGGGCATGAAAACTTTGAGCTCATCAACCATGATGTGGTAGAGCCTTTACTAATTGAAGGTACATTATAAGAATTAAATGTATGGACTTTCTGTGTATGATTTGATGGTACTGAACATGCTCTAACACCATAGTCTGACATTACAAAATTGTTGTCTTTGAGAGAAATCTCGGTCAAAGGAAAACCTAAAGGTTTATGACTTCAGTCAATATCTACCATCTAGTAAAAATTTAACTCTTTGACTGCCAGATATTTTTTCTGTCTGAAATTCAGTGCAAATTATATTTTCACATTTTGTATATTTGTCACTAAATTTCATCATCATTTTGGACCATACAAAGTTATTGCTTTCAGCTTTTGATCAAAAGGTTTGTCAATTTTTATCAACATTTTATGATGAAGGTAAAGACTATACACAATCATTTTGTAGATGATTGACAATTGATTGACAATGGCACTCAAAGAGTTAATGTGACAGCTAAGGTCAATAAAGTCAGTGTTGATTTGTTATGACGTGACATGAATATACAGAAGGGTTGACAATTTACACAGTTGACAATTGATTTGAAATATGCCAATAGCGAATAAGTATTTCCATTTTATTTTCAGTCTTCATGCAAAACAAATTTTAAGTGGAAATATTTTTTGGTATTGATCATTTTATGAAAATTTTAAATAAAAGCACTACCAGTATAATGAGACAACAGAAAGTGGGCACCATGTAAATGTTCTATAACTAGAAATTTAGCTACTAGTACTCTCTTTATAACTAGATGTTTGTTGCTCTTCGTTAGAAATGCAATATAAACTATTTTTCTATTAACTTTTTTTCAGTGGATCAAATCTACCACCTTGCCTCTCCAGCTTCCCCACCACACTATATGTATAACCCAATAAAAACAATCAAAACTAATTCCATTGGAACATTAAATATGCTAGGATTAGCCAAAAGAGTTCGAGCCAGATTGCTTTTAGCATCCACATCGGAAGTATACGGAGGTGAGTAGTACAGTTCTATTTACAGGCTTTAGTTTTTCATGTATTATAAATTGTAATTCACCATATCAAAAATCTGTTCCATGTTTTGTCATTACATGTTCACATGACCTGATATAGAATTACGCTATCATCGTCATATGTTGGAAATAATCTGTCTTCCAAAAGTGGCGTCAATTTTATAAATTTACATGTGTGCTCACTGAGATATCAAAAGCTAGTCTGTTGGGGAAATTCCTACCTTCAGCAGGCAAGGAATTGGCTGAGCTATTATCCAACAAGGATTCACAACGAACTAAGAACACGATCAAATATTTTTTTGAAATCCTTGTACATTGTGAAACTGATCCTGAACTTGGCACTCCTATTGGAGGCATCAAACACATAATTTGAACCAAACACTGTATGCACCTATGCTGAAATACGAGATACGAATGACTAATATTATTGTAATTAGGAATTGAATTGTGTTGATGACTGTTCATCAAGTGTCTAGAATATGTGGATTACATTGTAAATGGTGCGAAATAATTTTTGTGATTGATTCAAGATGAATATCAGAATCTGTGTTATGAATCACATATTGACTGGCTTTATTCTGGTAATAGCATATTCAGGATTTTGAGTCATCCACAAAATTAGTCTATCACTGTTGTTGCTAGGTAAAAATAGGAAAATTAGTTGTAAAGATATTCGTGTATTTGTTTCTTGCAATGCTTTAAAAAATTGCAAGGCATTAGGTATAATTAGTGAAATTTCACCATGATGCATTTTCAACTCAATTACTTTAAGTTCAGTTACAGCACATATGTGAAATCATACCTGACAAATTACAGCTGCTCGCTGTAATGTACAGCTTTGTTTCAATGACAAGTAGGGTTGGGAAAACATTGTAGAATAGGATTTGTACGGGGAACCACTTGAGGTAACTCATCCTTTATTTTTTCCCTGTTTTTTACTCTCTCTGTCAACTATTTCAGGGGAGGAAATAATTGAGCAATTCTCATTGATAATAAATCTGAACCTACAAAAAATGCCAGAATATACATATTAAAAGGTGGTGGTTGTCTGCCAGTGTGTGTTTGCATTTCACATAAACTAACAGACGAGTATATTTAAAGCGGGAGGGTCGTCACCCAAGTCCCAAGCGACGATAACAACACGCACTAAAATGCAAAGGCTCATGGATAGACGCTTGTTGTTTGTAAACAGTG